GTCTAGTGTTAGCCCGAGGTACACGACCTCTTTGGACCATTCCACCACTGTGCCGTTCAGGCAGATCTTGTTATTCTCCGGCGGAACAAGTCTAGGAGATTTAGAGTGTGGAAAGATAATGACCTGGGTCTTTGCCGCGTTGATACGGATCTTCCAGCTGTTGAAATATTCAGACAGGACGTACAGGCCTCTCTGAAGTTTGGCAGTCAGAGCTCCGATGACCCTACCCTTGTAGACGATGGATGTGTCATCTGCGAACAGAGACAACGATCCACCATCAGGGAGAGCCGGCATATCGGAGGTGAACAGATTGAATAGGATGGGGCCAAGGATGCTTCCTTGTGGAGCCCCGGCACCGATGTTTAAATCATCCGATGTGATGCTATTCAGAGAGACTCGGAACGTCCTGTCCGATAGATAGTTGTTTATTATCTTCACTAGGAAGATTGAAAGACCGTACTGCTGCAATTTGAACACCAGGCCATCATGCCAGACATTGTCGAACGCTTTTTCAACGTCCAACAACGCCATGGCAGATGTTTTTGAAACAGACTTGTTCCGTCTCAGAATGTTTGTCACTCGAGTCAGCTGGTGGACGGTCGACCTTTCCAAAAACCAAACTGTTCCTCGAGTAAGATGTTGTTTTGTTCGGCAGATGTTAGGAGCCGGTGGTAGACTGCTCTTTCGAACAGTTTTGAAAACCCTGAGAGAAGGCTGGTTGGTCGATAACTTGAAGGAGAGGACGGATCCTTCCCAGGTTTCCGGACGTGTATGACTTTAGCTGACTTACAACACGAGGGGAAGTAGCCAAGTCTGAGGAACTGATTAAAAATCAGTGCCAGATGGTTGTAGAATCTGGAACTCAAGTGTTTGAGTTCCAGATTCAGGATGTTGTCGAAACCTGCGGCCTTCATGTTTATAGATGATTTGATATAGGCCAACAGCTCGTCAGCCGTAATCTCGAATTCCTCTGGAAAAATTTTAGGCATCTGAAGAAGATTGGTTGCATTTTCAGCAACCTCAGATTCATGAGGGCTGACGATGTTTTGTCCGAGATTATGGGAGCTGACGAAGTGTTGACCTATCGCGGCAGCCTTCTCTTCAGGAGTTATCAGATGAACCACTGGGTCGCCGGGACGATCCAGTGGGGTCAATGGTGGAATGGGCCTAGGCTTGTTTTTAAGAATTTTTGTAAGTTCCCAGAAGGGCTTAGCACAATCTGGGAGAGAGCGGATCTTACTAGCATAATCGTTATTTCTGAGATCCACCATCCTGGCCTGAATGATCTTTGTTAATCGATTACAATTGGTCTTCAAGTTAGGCAGGCCAGTACGTTGGTGCTGCCTACGAATGGTGTTACGGAGTCTAATCAGATCTTTGGTAGGGCTGTCAAGGTTCAGAGTGTTACTCACCTGTCTGGATACTGGCACGTGTTGTTCCCTGGCCCGGGAAATCGCCTCCTCGATGGTTTGTAGACACCGGTCAACATCTTCGGACGTCCCCGGTTGGACATCGTAGTCGATGGTTGTGTCGACGCAGTGTTGATATTGCGCCCAGTTGACTCGATGGTAGTTGCGCCGGGATGCTTCGAATCGGTTAACAGAGGATCCAACTTCGGCCAACACAGGGTAGTGGTCCGAGCTCAGCTCCTGGAAAGCCACAGGTTGAGAGATGTTGTGTCCCATGTTGCTTACGAAGATGTCGATGGTCGCATGGACCCCAGACCGACTCAACCGGGTGGGAGAGTCTGGGGCCAAGATGGTATAGTGGCCCTTTTGCAGGTCTTTCAGACAGATTCCAGATTTATTTCACGATGTACCAGCGATGTCTAAAAATGAGGGTGATGTATAGACCAATATTTAAAACGCCAGTTACACTAACGCTTGCTGAAACTCCTCAAACTCACTGGAGGTTTTAAAACACTCTTGTCTAGCGAGTATAGCCAGCCCTCACCTCGAGTGAGTGGCGACAGGAATATGGAAGAAGTAAACAAAAACTCCTCGAGAGAGGGAGAGTCAACTTCAGCGAGAGGATTATTGGACGTGAGGTGCGCTTTTCGAGACTCCGGATTATTTTTTGTTCGACGCAAGAAGCTCAGAGTTCACCCAGAGTGAGAGTAAGAGCGTGTGATAGAAAACATGAACATCAATGGCAGCAAACCTCACTCTCATTTTATCCCCCATCGCTCAAAAGCTCTGAAGATCAGTGTTATGATTTGGCAGCAGGCATTCTACTCCTCACAGAAATTCTACGCTCAGCTCATTTCAAACTCGCGAGCGAGGCTTCATCAAGCCTGGTTACACAATCCTCCTTGTGAATATATTGACATGTGTAACGCCCGCTTTAGATGTATAGATGCCCAACCCAAATTTGAGTAGGATCTACTCATATCCACCAAAATTGAGTAAACAAATTTGGGGCTGACAAGATGACGAATGGACAACATCGACCTGAATCCGAATGTTAATTTATTATCTTGTCAGTTACAATCTTGTTTCATTAATATAGGGTAGCCATACTGCTAATGGAAATGAGTAGATCTTATTGATGGATGTTTAGAAATACCGTGTGCAGAAAGGTGGAAAAACTCGCTGTACACGGCCAACGAGATCAACCCAAATTTTACTTTACTCATAATTCGCAAAAAGTGCAGGAATTCAGAAAAAAAAATACTTTATGTTTTTCCAGTTTTTTCGCGCTGTTTCAAAGAAGAAATGCCAGAATATAATAACACTAATGATTGGATTTTCTTGGTCTATTGGTACTTCTACTAGACTGTGTAAAATTTTCGTGAATTTCCCTAATTTTCCAGCAGATTATTGAGGTTTTTATTTGGGTTGATCTCATCGGCCGTGCACAAATTTGAAGGGACAAAATCTGACTGGTCTTATAGAGCTTTTCGACGTCTATTCGGTGCACACTACTGTATCATTTAAATCCAACGGGGGCGAGCAAGAGGGAAATTGATTAGTGGGAAAATACACCGTCGATTCATACATGTGTGATAGATAGAGAAAGACGAAAGAGATCGAAAAGATCTATTGGAATACATACATTCCACGATTTTGCGTACGATTTCTTCTTCTGATGATAACGCCCAAACTAAACATAAAGCCTACCCCAGACTCTCCTAAAAAAAAAGCGGTTTAGCGACATGCACGTATCAATCATATTGATCGGATAAGCCATCTTGAAAAAAGCTTGTCTAGACGAAACGCGTCCACAGACGAGATTCTAATACCTATGTTACGGTAGTAACAAAGGTAAAACTGACGACACAGCGTTTTATGCTAACTCGAGTACACGCTAGCATTCTTAAGTTCCCAGCACAGTCCATCGACTAAGTGGACCATAGGCACATTATGTACACATTTGTTGCCCTCTCCAATATATTTGATAATAAATAAATTCATTCGGGTTTGTACTACTAACCGAGTCGGATGTAGTTAATCAAACTAGCAATTCAACATCCGTGAACTATCACAATCGGGATATGTTTTAAAATTTGAAGATTCCAGATCTAAACAGAACTTAAAGTTAAGATTTCTTGAATGTAACGAAATATCTCAATCAACGTTGGGTTCAAAAGTGATAAATGTGTCCAGTTCTTTTCCAGGAGGATCTACACAATTATGCCAGTGCATTGCATTCTAAAAGTTTCAGAAAAATCGTACTTTTAAAGGATTTCGTATGAACTAAAAACCTAATTTTGTCTCAGTCAGTATAGAGGAACATCCTATGTACGAGCAATTGCACAATAAATATGTAATGATTCATATAACCTACCGATCGTGGTAGTTCAATCGCATTTGGTTTTATGCTTAATTCAAATGTATGTCACCCAACCGGAAAAATTTGATTATTTAGGAAAAAAATACTAATCGGCATTTGCTGGTTTGGAAAATACGTATGCAGTTTGAGAGAATTGTAAATTTCGTCATTTTACCTAGCGATTTAGGCCTTATTACGTTCGGCCTAATGGCGCTTTAACCTAATCGTCAATAATAAAACACATGCCCTCCCCACATTTTGAAACCTGGCTACGCCCATGAAATTTGATAATGTAAAAATATTACTGAGCTTGTTGGTTTTTAAACGTTTATGTGTAAGCACGGTTCGCTATCATAAGGTTGGAAGCTTCTCGTTTATGCAGATATAGTGGAAATGGATATAATGTTGGTCTAAATACCCCTAATTTGGGTCCATACATGAATTCATCAATCGAATAAATTTTCAATAGCGACCAAAAATATCCATTAGTACCGTCCCAATGACAATTTTCTAATACCGTTCCGACTTTCTTTGTACATGAATTCATTACATCATGGATTTCAAACGTTCTATTGTTTTGAATACATCTGGATCAAAGGCCTAGTAATGCGTTCGTGCTTAAATGTGATGTTTGCCGAAATTCCGTCCATAACTCAAGTGGCCTCAAATATTTGAAATATTCCTAATTGACTCCATGCCTGCAAATCCATAAAAACAAGCACGTAAAATTGGACCATTCATTGTCTCATAAAAGCGGCATTATGACATACTCATTCAATTTGGCTAATTGATTCATAGGCGACTCGTAATCCATAAAACCAATCCACTAACTTCCTAGCGTTTCACAGTTTAAGGGAAAAGCATTCTTCCATCGGTGCAGCATCCTTCTCCTTCTATCGCATTCGATTTGTAGACGATTTTCCTTGCTCCCTCGGGCACCCTAAACAGTAGCACCCGAGATCATGATCTTCTGGCTGGCAGTATTAGTGTTGATCGTTTTCCTCTCTCATTGGTAGTAACAAAAAAAAAAAATTCAAACTCGCGCGACACAACCGACGACAAGCAGCATCGGGACGTTCGTAAGGTACCTTAGAAGAAACGTGCGTCCGGGGGCCACATGTGCACGCGATCCCGATACTATTTCTTCCTTTTCCAAGATCTTGAACTGTATGGCGACACCGCAAGATCGTGCAATCGTGCTATATTTGTTGTAGTCATTCGTTTGACGACGCCCGATCCGACAGGACGTGCTTTCCGATTAGTCATCGGGTTTTTCTGATTTTCCGAGTTTCCCGCGTGCTGCATAATCTTTCCCGCCCGCAGTCAGTTTCGGTGAAGTTTTCGTTCAAGTTTGTTTTGTTGCGGTTTTTCTGAGTGATGCATGTGCGGTGAAGATGTTTGAAAACAAAATGTTTGCTACCGGTCAGGTGAACAGTGAACAGTTTGACATTCCAAAAAGTGTCGATTTGGGTGTTCAAATTACCAACTTTGGTAATATGTCTTTGCTAACACCAACGACTCCGGGTACTTTCAAAGATCCAGTTTATTTCGGTGAAAGTTGTCCCAGTTCAAAAGTGTCCTACGGAGAAAAGGCAAAGTGTTCATTTTCGCCGGCTTCCTCGAGCCACTCGTCGTACGAGGATAACAATGCTGAAATGAGCAACGATTTCCCGTCGGTTGATGCTTCAGAAGCAACGTACTCCAATTATAACAACCAATCATGCATGATGCAGCAGAAGAATGAAGATCTCTACTTTAAATTTGATCCTGAGTATATTGAAAAGATGCAATCTTCGGTATGTTTGTCTCCAGCAACAACCATCGCTACTCCGTTGACATCCAATAGCATCGTCAACTCCTCCGAGTACTACAACTTCAATGATGTCAACTGCCAATCCAAGAATCAGAGTCCGTGCTCGTCGCCTCCGCTAGATCCCTGGATCACATCATCGCTTTCGATGACTTTCCCAAACCTGCCCGAGTCGAAACCTTCAGACTCTCCGAAGCACAGCAATGTTGAAGTTCAACCGGGAATGCAACAGCTGCCGTCGATCAAATCAGCCTTCGGCAATGCGATACAATTTGACGATAGTTCCAAGAACTTTGGATTGCATACGACCCACGCCAACTACATGATTGATTACTTCGATACGAGCTTCCTGGATCAGTTCAATCAGAATGTAGAGATCAGTGGAACCGGTTCCAATATGAACGACAGCACCAACAGCAATGATGCCTATCAACATCCGGAAGAAAATTACAACAATTCAGAATCGGCGCAGAAGCCGAACCGCGAATTCAAAGATATCTGGCAACAGCAACAGCTGCATCACCCGCAACCGACGGAATTGGATAGGAAAATTTCCATCAAGGAAGAAGCTCATGAGGACGAGGAGGAGGAGCTGGAAAACGACCCGGATCAAGTGCTGGAATGTCTGTGGACGGATTGCAATTTGAAATTCCCCGACCAGGGAACGCTGGTGGCGCACATCGAGAAGACGCACGTGGAGGTGAAAAAGGGGGAGGAGTTTGCCTGCTTCTGGTTGGACTGTCCGAGGCGGTATCGGCCGTTCAATGCGCGCTACAAGCTGCTCATTCACATGAGGGTGCACTCCGGCGAGAAGCCCAATAAGTGTCCGGTAAGTGGTGATTGGTTCGATAGTGGGTTTGTTTTGCGCTCACATTTGTGTGGGAGGTTCTATGTAAACGGAGAGTGGCACTGAAATCGATCTGAGGATATGCTGATGGAATGCGAGCATGTTGACTACTTAGGATGTGTATTTAAATACACAAGATGCGTTGCATTGCATGTGGGTGAATTCTCGCGTAACATTTGAAAAGGGCCTATCCTCGTTGGTCGATTCTCTTCATAGACTTTCTCTTTGGTTTACCACGGTAACATAAACGAATTTCTCGCTAAGCTCGCAGCACAGTTCGACAGAAGATGATGTTAGCGTGCGCCTGAAACAACACACTCAATTTGAAATACATTTGTAGTTGGGTTATTTGAGAAAGAGAAAATCTACGAAGGGAATCGATCAACAATGATATGCCCTTTTCTCGTGTTGCACGAGAATTATTTATTGAACAATGGCTCATGGAACGGATGCTCCTCTATACTGACTGAGATAAAATAAGGTTGTTAGTTCATATGAAATTCTATAAAAGGACAGCTTTTTTGAAACTAATAGTATGCGATGCATTGGCATAATTGTGTAGATCCTCCTGGAACCAGACACATTTATCACTCTTGGACTTAACATTGATTGAGATATTTATTTATATTCAAGAAACCTTTACTTTGAGTTTTTCAAGATTTTGTTTTTCTTTTTAATTTCCTCGGATCATCTTCAAAGTTTGAAACATATCCCGATCTCTTTCTATGTGTAGGTCACGGACTGATATATTCAATAGATCGCATACTTGAGATAATGAATTTAAATTTTTTCCTACACAACTAAAAACATATGAAAATTTTGATGCCCAGAAAGACAAATGCGCACTTTTCTTATGACATAAAATACAGGAAATATGAAAGAAGTTACTTTTAGTTTGTGCCTTTTGACGAGTAAAATATATCTCGGTCTCCGAACGCGTAATTGTGAAATTTATCTGTGTTTAATTTTCAGTACTAGGCCGATCGCCATTAGACTAAATGGGTCATTAGGCTGAAATTTAAATAATTGTTCCCATTGCATCATCTGGCATCTGGTTCCGGTTCAAGAATTGATTAGATTTATCAGAGTTGGTTGGAACCGCCATACTAATATCAACATGAAGCTTTAGCGTGATAATTTATTAGCTAGAGAAAGTTCTGAAGAGGATAGACTGATAGTTCCGCTAGAGTACGGCAGTGTGAAAATTGAATTGAAGTTGAAATACTAATCAAATGCGCCTTCCTTCCACTCCTAGCTCTTACATTAATGGATTTGAAGTTTTCCTTCAAATCCACAAGCAAAAGAGTGCGCGTTTGACTTGCTCATATACTGTCTGCGGCTGTGGAATAGTTTAGTTTAGTATTGGATTTATGTTGGAGCATATCTAACCCAAGATGTCACTAATTGTTTCTTCAATGTACCTTGAAAAAAAATCCACTCATGTTTCAAAGAAGAAAAGCTCTCCTGTGAATAATCTTCAACTAGTAATGTCTTCAAAAGAAAACATTTAAACTCGAAAGAACTGCTCATGTTTGAAAGCAGGAGAAACCAGCTACGATAAATCATTGGTTAAAAATTTCATAGCATAATCTGTTGTATATGCAAGGTCTCGTATCCATGTTTTAAAAATCGTAATCTTAGCTTTTCAAGATTATCTTATATTTAGGATCAAGTACACGCTCCATTTATTCCTTGAAATGAGATCACGTATTTTTCAATGGGAATTGCAAATCTTGGAAATGCTCCGAAGTTCAAGATTTTTAATGACTTCAATGTAAGGAACATTGTACGAAGATCTGAAAAAATCTAACAGATTCTTTCATTGCCTTCTTAAATCCCCTCCTCGGACAGAGATCTGAAAAAAAAATCCAACAGATTCATCCCAGAGTGTTTTGAAAATGGTTTCAATCAACCATATTTCAATTTTCGGCATAATGTCCCATTCGGCCTAATGGCTTTCGGCCTGATAGCATTCGGCCTAATGGTATTAATAATGGCATACAGTAGCAGCACCTCCCTACCTGTGTCTCCTCGAGATCGTTAAGTGAACGATGTCAGGAGCACATACAGCGGTAGAGGTAACAAGAGCTGCAATTTCCAAATCTATCGACGAAATGCTTACGTCACATCCCAACTGTTTCCGCACATCGAAGATACGTGAGTAAATCGGTGATTATCCCTTTTGTCAGTGGTGGTGGGGGAGGATACCCCTCACTATCACTCCCCAACAGGGAAGTTTGGTAAAGGAGATGATCAAACCGATTCGTGCCTTCCTCAAAATTGACCTTTGCTCGCTTTCCACTCTCTATAACAGTTATATCGACTGTTTCACCCTCAAGTCGTCATATGACGTGAGCATCTGCCCGACCTCTCTAAAATTACTTTTTCAAATGGCTGTATATATGTTCAATGCACGTGTTTCTAGCTGCATTTTGTTTATTTTTCATTTCTTCTCGGCTAAAATTCATAATGATAAAAAATGATAACGTTGCTGAGATCCAGAGGACCGTTGGGCAGTGCTGATCTAGTGCATCCGCATCATAGCATCATAGAGTTTGTTAATCTTCTTGCTGACCTCCGCCATGTTGGCCATCCCAAGCTGCAGTCCTTATTGTCTATCTCGGGATGTGCTAATGCTGGATTTCGGTGTGAACATCTGTCTCAACACAAGACCAAGCTCTCCTTGGAGCCCTTGTTGTTCCCCTTGGGGCTTGTGCTGCAAATGGAACTGGATTTAGTCCCCTGGTTCGATACTGGTGACGTCTGTAACTTCCCGGTACTCAACATTCTTTCATTCGGTATGATGCGTCACAAGATAATTTTTGGTTCATTTCAAATTCTGTCGACTTCTTGACTTGAATGCGCAAAAAATGGTCGACAAAAAATCGTTTCTTTCAGTCAAAATTAATTTCACAAAATTCCTCTTATTTTTCTTTTGGTAGTTCAATTCATATATTTATAGGACAAAATGTTCGTTTTTTCCGAACTGCCGTGCCTTCCGCTTAACCCCTCCATTAAATTTTGCACAGTGGTCTCATCGACCTTATTCGCCGCCGAACGCCAGTTAGATTTAAACTGCTGCTCGTTTTTCACGGAATTATTAGTTTTTTTTTTAGATTCCGTTTGACCAAGGCCCAATACCGTTCGATAGGGTGGAGTTCTAGGCTGTTGGGAGGGTTGCGGTCTTTGGGTACCACAACCACGTTGTTCGCATCGTACCACTCGATTGCCTTTTTCCCATAGTGGCAACTCGCCAAGTCCAGCCAGAACAGCCCAGGTCTATTATGTTGCTTTAGGAATGGTAGCAGCTGCTTTTCCAGGCACTCCTGGACGTAGATCTCTTGATTGATGGTTCCCGTAGTAATGAAAATGCCGCTTTTTAGACCACACGTGCATATGGCCTGCCAGACGAGATACTTTTTTCGGGAACTTCGATAGTTTCATGGTTTTGAAAATTTCAGTCACCTTCCCTTTTCTTGATGCGGTATAAAACTCCTGTCCCGGAAGGTGCTTGAAATCCGCCTTCACATAAGTTTTGTCGTCCATGACGACACAGTTGAACTTTGTGAGCAGATTCGTATACAGCTTTCGGACCCGCTAATTTGCCGACGTGTTTTGTTTGTAATCTCGGTTCGCCACCTTCACCTTCTTAAACTTTGACAACCCGGCTCGTTTCTTGGCCCGCTGCACAATAGTATGGGAGACATTGAGCTTGCCAGCGACGTCCCGGATGGAGAGGATAGGATTCCGCTTATATTTCACCGCCACCTTCTTCGTCGTCGCTGCCACGTCCAGATTACGATTGCCGCCGCTTCCTGGCGGTCGACAGACGCTCCCCGAACAGTTTTAAAACGTTTGTCACGGTCGATTTAGCCACATCCAGCAATTTTGCCAACTTGGCGTGTGAGAACGTCGGATTATCTTGCTGCGCGAGCAAAATTTTGACACGCTGCTCCTCTTGCTTGGAAGGCATTTTGAAAACTGGAGAGCAAACGGTGAAATCTCATCATAGCAACCATTGTATATACACTCAACTTCCAAACGCAGTATTTCAGGTTTTTTATGCGTTTTTAACAGAAATACACCAATTTGAAGCTGACCAATTTTTGCCAGTTCCAGACTTTAGGGCTCCCATGCCATGGCTAGCTATGACCAATTTGGTTCCTGGTACTAAATATAATCGCCAGAAATGTAAATTTTGCATTCTCATCTGATTTGATGTGTTTAAAAAAAGGTTTTGGTCATGTCGAGTTGTGGACTCCCGGAGGTACCCTGAACATATCCGGGTGTCTCCAAAGTGGACTTAGGATGACCGCTATGATTTTATTGTTTAGTTTTCATGTAATTTAATATGTCGATGGCCCATGTCAAAAACTGGAAACTACACACTTAGTTTTTTCTATTGGGCTCGGCTGTGCAAATCTCGGCAAAAAAAGTTTTACTGAGATCTCAGCAAACATTTCATCTAAGCATTATCCGAGACTCAGCAATCAAATGTCACTTTTGTAGAGATCTCAGTGAAACTTATTTTGCCGAGATTTGCACAGCCGAACTCGGTAGAAAAAACTAAGTGTGTTCTCAGGATGCACCCCAAACATGTTCAGATGAGGCCAATGTGATCTCTGGTTATCAATACTACAATTTAAGTTTTTTTGGAGGCGAACCAGCCCAAGGCTGAAAGCCTCCCTAATAAAGCTAAATAATAATAATAATACAATTTAAGTTGTTTTTGATGAAGTTGGGGGGAAATTCTTTACCAATACAGCCATTCCATAGCAAACGATATAGTGGTTCTCAGAATTTCGCAGAAATTTTTAGTTTTGTTCCTTATCGCAAAATATTCGACTCTTATTTTTTTTATTTTGTAATTAGAGTGAACATTTTCATGTTAGGATGATCCAAAAAATCGATTTTTTTTTTCAATAATTGGTTTTTTTTTTAAATGTTTAACGTTTGAACCACTTTCGAAGATCAAAATATTA